AWKSCYWWTKKTKKTTWACACTACTAGCTTGTAATGTTATCATAGTCACACTTTTGACTACTAGACTTTACCATTCAAATATTTCTAGCCTATKAWAATTTAGAACCTACCAGTACATTTTGCCTCAGTGCCCGACCATTGACCATTAATTTGGCAGGTTCTCTCTAAATCTCCAGAAGGTCGATGCCCTCGTAAGCATATAAAGGTGCACTTTACTCGGTAACTCATCGACGATGCAGGTTTTCCGTTATGGTCCACACATGTTTGAGATTTAGATTTGGGTACTGCTAAACTGCTGCATGTTATTTCTGTTGACATAWAWTATTAATKATAGAATRTTTGGTATAGTACGCGCCCTTGGATTGGCCKAGAACCGCGYGTTATTAAAGWACATACGAACGGTGACTTCATTTAATCTTACGTGCGATCTGATTGGTCAGAATCAATGCGCGCGGTCTGCTGCGTTTAATCGTAATCTTACGTGAGCTTTGATTGGTCAGAACCATTGCGCGCGGTCTGCTGTGTTCGTTCAATCGTTTCAATAAATTTACGCGCGCTCCAGAAAAAAAGGAGGAGTAAGAACGCGTTTCAATTCCCTGTTTGAAAGAAAAATGTGGGRTWGTTGGAAGAACACTKAAAGATTTTGAATCCTGAGTTGAAAGCAATAGCTCCCCCAAAGAATCCCAAGTGGTCCACACAGAGAATAGAAACACAGAAAGTACATGTATCTAATACCTAATGAAATAGCAAAAACTCTTTTCTTGTAAACCATGTTTTCTCTTTTTATATTTCATTCAAMCAATCACTGAAAAATCAACTATCAATTAACAAGACAGTGCTATTTAGTATAGAAAACAGTAGATAATGATTACATGTCTGTCATCAAATCATTTTAAGCAAAAGAACTTCAATTTGTCTTTGCTTTCTCATAAATTCACTGAACATTTTTTTTTTGCTGTTTGAATCTTGGAGCAATTTAATTTCTAACTATAATTATTTTGTCAAGAGATGACTACTACCTGACAGCATTTATCTGAGTCTAAGCTTTTTTTTCTAAAGTCCAAGTTTTCTAAGGTAAYAGTTTAAATTTTGTTTGTTGTACCAATGTAATGTAGTATTATATGTATTTATTGAAATAAAAATCTTAAAAAAGATAACTACCCGTGCACGCTGGTGATCATGTTTAACTTTAATTTAGTTGAAAGCTAATTTAATCTGATTCATCTAGCTGAGTAACCGTATCCTTGCAAAAAGTGGTTGGTGTTCTGATTTATTCATAGTTAGTCTATCAGATGGTCATAACATTATTAAGTGATAGTCAGTCCGTCATAAATGTACAACTTACCAAACTCAAATTGATAATTTAAGGAATGGATTGAGAGAACTTATATAATTTATCGATGAGCAGTTTTTGCTTAATTTTATAGTACCATCTTTAAATGCCAGGAATTATATCAAAGCATATCAGAGAGTAGTTAGTTACTAGATATGACCAAAATGAGATAGTTGTTGACCTTGCAGTATAAATAACTTGTCCTAACTGTACTATTGGTTCAAGCAAAACGTATCTAATAGTACAACAAGAATAACCCATGTCTGACCAAGGCTTGGCTAACTTCGAATGTRCTGGAAACTGCACAATGAGGTATTGAATGAATGGATGAATAAAAATGACTGGATGGCATAATAAATAAATGAATGAAAGACAGCATCTGCTTCTTACCTTCGCAAATGATTGGATCTGTATTCCAATCAACCTTTGTTGGGGACTTGACTTGATTACATGTTTGCTTTGCAGTTCCTTTCATTTTAAATCCTTCTTTACATTGGAATTCACATTCACTACCAAATAAATTTTTACAGTTTCCTCCAACAATCAACCCATTACTCGGCACTGCTCGTTTAGGACATGACAAAGCTAAAAACARGTTTTCAAAAAAAAAATTATATGTTATGCTATAATTCTATAATATGTACATGTATGCATTAAAACATCAATGRTTATGATTTATTAAGTATGGTGGAAAGGCAGAATACTTAAAGAAAACCCTTGTAAGACCACAAAAAAAAACTTCTTTCATGAACTACAACACCAAATAAACAGAAATCAACGTGCTGAGATCCAAGTCGTCAAACTATTATATCTTAATCTGTTACTATTTAATGAAACTTGATACAAAAACAACAGCAAACAAACAAACAAAGTACATGTTTCAAGCCATAATACTCACGTTGACAAGGTTGAAGCAATTCAGGTTGTCCAAAATAGCCAGGTTTACATGTGCAATCTTGGTGACTTATACTTCCTGGTTTGTTATTTGTAGAGAACTCTGGACATTTAGTGCACGCCTTGGCGTATCCAGCGTACTTTTTGTATGTTCCAATAGGGCAACCTAAATAATTAAACTTATAATGAAGTCAAAAACAGTTTTAAGAAGTCTGGCGGTAGATGTACGGTTTCTGGTTTTAAAAAAAAACCTTCTCCATCTTCAAGCCCGCCAGAGAAGATAAATACCATATTCCAACTACAATCTTCATCTTACTGGTTTTCATTTATAGAACCGAAAACCATCAAGATCAAACCGAACCGAACAAAAACTGCTAGGTCTTTTTTCAACCTGCTCGAACGAGCCGCCATTTTATTTGAAACAATCTCGAGCCCAGAGTCTTCTCGGCTAATGTCAGCGGTATGCTGACGCCGGAAAGACTCTGGAGGAATCGACTGGATTTGCGACGCTTTTCCGTCGCAAATTATGCAAATTAGGTCAATTTTGTTTTTGCCGCTTTAGAGCATCAAAATGACAAAAAAGAAGAAGGTTTAGCACACAACTTAGTTTAGGAACAGTATTGACACCTTTTAAAAAACACAAATGTGTGAAAACATGTGTGGTTATGCGATAAAAGTATGACATTTTTGATCAAACAGGCGAGCGCGCGCTGGCGACTTGAAAAACCGCTTTGAAAATAATGCGCGCTCGCGTCATTTTCAACCAATCACGAATCGAGAAAAAATTGTTTCCTCCAGAGTCTCTCACGCATTGACATCCGCTGGATGGCAAAAGTGTGGGCTTTGGGTACGAGATTGATTTGAAACAAAGAAAGAAAGACCGCTGAGCTAAAAAAATACAACCTCGTTCCCAGGGCCATCACGGACTCCACAAAATGGCCGGTCGTCCAGCGATGACCCTGGCAAACACTGAGCTAAGGCGCTTTGTGATTGGCTGATAAAGACGTCATTCTTATACCGCTTGCCATTGGATGTTTATTTTTAAGATATGTTCGGCTATCAATCGGGATTCGACCGTTATTTTGAATGCGTCCAATTTTCCGAAGAGTTTATGTCCGTTTTATTGATCACTCAAAAGGCAATAATACTGCTTCAAATTCACGTCAGTTGTGCCGAAGGTGTAAGTAATTAAACTCGGCCGATATATTTACTGTATTTTAGCGAAAGCGTTGATGTTTTGAAAGTCTTCTACTCGGGCGCTTTAATCTACAGCCGCATTCTCTTTCCAAGAACCCCTGAGGACTTCTAGAATGAACTGAAACTACTCCTTTTACTTATATTGCCGATTGAATGGAAATTATGAAATAAACAATTAAGTTAAATGTTTTTGTTCAGTCAGATAAACAAAATGTCGACCCACCACAGCTAGCCCGATTAAAAACGTTGGGTTTACGTTGCGAACACATTTTTGAATAGATTGACACGTGATCAAATTTTGGAGTATTTGATCACGTGATAATCAGCGTTTGCCAGGGTCATCGCTGGACGACCGGCCATTTTGTGGAGTCCGTGATGGCCCTGGGAACGAGGTTGAAAAAAAATACAAATCTAAGTCCGAAATGCATCCTGGGATAACTTTTGACCAATCGCGTTTCACTATTTCTTACTTGGCGGGAGRCTAGAAGCAAAGATGGCGGACGTGGAGAGCAAGCAACCGCAGAAGCTCAATAATATCGTATCAATGGGCTCTATCAATTATTGTCGTAAGCAATTGGGAGGTAAGATGAGTTTGTGCATTCGATTTTCAATGTCGCATTTGTACATGTTCTGTTGAAAATTTCGCTGTTRTATAATTAGAGACACCGCTGCTCATTGTCCTACTGAACTCTCGAAGTCACTGCTATCTATTTGCTCTGGTATTGGCATTCATTACCAGCCTTTTCCATGTAAATATACTCTGTATATTTACGTCAAACTGTCTTTGAAAATGCAAAAGGAATGGCGAAAAATCCCAAATCAATGCTGTTCAAGTAAAAACAAAAAACAAAAACAAAAAAACAGTAGACGAGGAAAAGGAAAACTAACGACGAACGACATCTRGAAAAAATTAGATTCAGAATAAGTTGAAGAAATAACTAAAATGACAAAGCGAACTATTTGAATTACGCAAACTTGCTTTTAGAGCTTCCTACTCATTTTTTTTCATTTGCTGAGCTTCCTGTGTTGGAAATGGTTTCCGCACGGGGAGCCCAAGTAATGACTTTGAACCTATAATAGTTAAAAATAAAATTTTACTTAAAAAATAGTCTACTTTTATTTTATTCAGTGTCACAATGCATTATAAATGGGTTTTAAAAAATTTCCCCTCCCTATATATATATATATATAGTGGCAAGTAGACTATTTTGTTAAGTAAAATTTTATTTTTAACTATTATAGTTTTCAAAGTCATTGCTTGGGCTCCCTGTGGTTTCCGAGCGTTTTACGAGGAACTCAATCAGTTCTCGAGAGAGAACTGGAAATCCGAAAATTTGAATCATTACACAGGAAGCCTGGATAAAAGAAACAAACGAAAATAATGATAATAATAATAATAATAATAATAATAATAATAATAATAATAATAATAACTTGCAAAACTTGGAGAAAGTCTATAAAGGTAATAGTATACATACGTTGGCAATCTCCATTTGTACCGGATCCAGCCATGCCTGCTGGACACGAACACTTGTAATCGCCATACACCAGTCCGCATGCGCACTTAGCATGTCCATCACACTTGTTGTTACACTTGGATTTCGGAACATCAACTGTTTCCCACACCTTCTGGTAAGGATCTAAAAAAGAAAGTAAAGAAAATATTTCATNTATTTTGTCACTGTAACATCAAAGACCTATCAGAAGTAAACGTTTTTGGAACGTTTTAGAACTCTGGACAAAATAGAAAATAAATTATGTTGAAATGAAAATACAAAGAAATGTATGTAATTTTCCACCAATGGCTATCCGTCTATTTGTTTCTGAACATGAAATATGTGAAAGCTTTGTCACTGTCATGTGAATGAACTACCAGAAATAAACATTTTTGGAAAGTTTAACAGCCCTGGATAAAATGCGAACAAATTTATGGCGAAATGGATATACAAAGAAATGTATGTAATTTTCAGCCAAGGCCTTTATTGCCTCGTTCTGGTGTTATGATATATTTTAAATCCTTATGACTTCACCAGAATTTCATATTTTCATTTCAAACTTTTATATGTTGTTATTAGCAGAGGTTCCYATCAGCTGTTAGTTTTAGACAGCTTCTATAAGCATATAAATGTACCTCAATATATTCAAGAGGCCGTAAGGGGATTGGGGAGGGCCGAGCGGAGAATGGAGATTTCAGAATGTAAAGTACATTACGTTGCGGGAAAAAAAAAACAAACAACAACAACAAAACAAACAGTAAACCTTAACGAAAATCTACCGGTATCCTTTGCAATCGCATTACCCGTGCTATTTTTTTTAAACCTTAAGTCCAGTATTACAGATATCTACACAAATTCTGTCCGCTATGAAATATCATTACACCGAGTGCATCATGGGTGATTTTTGCTCTTTTATCGCCAAATACGATTGCATGGCAATAAAACTATCTGAAATTATGCATGCTTAATGTCATTCAAACAGATTTTGCAGTTTGCCTAAAAAATAAAATGCTCAATTTTAAAATATCAGCTACCTCATATATTGATATATGCAATATAGTTGCCAGAATTTGTCAAAAAGGTTTGAAATGACTAAAGTTCCAAGATATATAACGTACTTACCTCCTCGAATATACGTTGCCAACTCATTGAACTCATTAAAGTTGCTCAAGTGAAAGGCATGTTCTTTTGGGCCCTGGTTTGCAACCAGAGCTTGTAGGTTTCCAAATTGAACGCCGCTTCCAACGCCTATCGCGAAAACTTCCGCTTTATTTTGGATCAACTGCTGAGCTCTAGAAATTGGACTTGAATCGCGCCACGGCCAGTTCCAGTAACCATCGGTGAGGAGGATGACAACCGTCTTGAATTGACTCATGGGGGATCTTTTTACCCCTTGATACTTCCCGAGGCAGACATCGATGGCGCGTTGGAATGCGTCTCTCATGTTCGTCATTCCTGCTTCAAAGCGTAACTGATTGAAACGTTCATTGAAGTAACATTTGTTCTTTGAGCGGCCAGGCTCGGAGATAAACTTGATGTATCTGTAGGCGGAGTCGTGGAAGGGAATCACTTCAACTCTGGTCGCTTCGTACCCGACTGAGATCAAATTCAGTAAATTTGTAATAAACTTTTTTTCAAGTAAAAACTCGTGATAAGCGAGACTACCCGAGGAGTCAAGCAAAAAGAGAATGTCTGCCTTTTGGTTCGTAAAAGACCCTCGAAGAGACAGAAGATCTTTTTTGGATTGCTTAAGCCAATCAACAGTAGAAACACAAGGCAAAATCAAAGCTATTACGATAAGAAGTTTTGTTGCTTTTAACACCGCCATTTTTTCAACCTGATCGCTAGTGTTGCAGTGTAAAAGCTAGCATGAGATTTGTACATTGAAATGATCAAACTTTATTGCTACAGCTGGGTTGATTCAGCTACGTTACAATACGCTAAACAGGTGCAAAACGTCGTTCTCTTCTCAAGAAACGTCAAAAATTATATCGAATATACATCTCAAAGTAMATTTGACGTGATTACAATAACATATTTTGCACGCACACTGTGCTGGGACGTTTTTTACTTCCTTTTGAAAAAATATTAAGCTTTCGAAGTTGAACTATATATCTAAGACAATTATATTAACTGGTACTCGAGTTCGAAATAAATCTTTTATAAGGATATRAGTAAGATTTGACATTAAGATATCATATTTGTAAATCAAGTTAGAGATTTCTGAGAGTATAAACCAATTTTAAGAAGGGATTATTTAACAAGTCACAGTTTAAGTGTCTTCACGAGCTGTGCAAAAGCTAACATTGTCACTTTTATTAATAACAAAAAACGACACATATAAAGGTATTTAAAATCAAAATTAATTCATCGCTTTATCAAAAACATTTTTACAAAAATGATGCTTTAAAAGTCAAATTAAGTTTTTGTACAGCAAAAAAATTAACCTTGCTATTTACTTTGGACAAGCTGTATCTACAAAAATTAAATTAACTGCTAAATATCTCAATTAYAYCATTTCTAATATGAGATTAAAGGCAGAATGTTGACAAAGCTGAATCAATGAGTTTCTGCGTTTCTGATTGGTTGAAACTTAATATGATGATTAGTTATTTCGTGTGATACCGCTGTATTGGGAGATAGTGTGCTCATGTATGTGTCAGTTTTTGATTACTGCTGCATGCACGCTTTTACGTATGCACTGCAATGCTTTTGTTTTGTTTTTGGTGCCGTGATAATCGCTTGATTTTTCATAGCTTTTTCATTTGTTTGATTTTGTCCTTGTCTTTTTTTTCTATTCTGTGTATATTCAAGCGTGTGGTCTTTCTTTTTTTTGTGCGCAGGCAATCTTGCAATCTTGCAATCTTGCGCGTTGTTGGTGCTTTAAGTAACAATGCGCTTAAGAACTAGGGAACTCKCTATTGTTCTGCGGCATTGCAACTTCCCCATGTACGAATGTCTTGGTTTTCACACTGATTATGTATTAATCTGTGGGTAACACGGAAATAAAATGTGGATAAACTCTATTTTGAAACCAAAGTTTCTTTTGTATTAAAAGCTCTTATCCAATCATAAGCACTCAAAACAATAGCCAAAAGATGCTTCTAATTTGCAATGTTCCCCACATAGAATTGCCTTAATATTGAAGCTAAAGAAAGCTAAACAGACATTAAATAAAATATTAGAAAAGGAGCTAACTTGTGAAATTATAGCAGATTTTCATGTTTTAACCAATGGGATGGATGGATTATACAATGCACAATTTAGCACSTTCTTGCATTCCTTTGCCGTTTTCTTCCTTAGTTCTTACTGGGGCATTACTTAACGTATATGTTGCAAGAAAAAATTGCAGCTGAGCCTAATTTTTTGATACGCTACAACTGACAACAATGACTGTTTTAAACGAAAATCTTTCTGGTAATGAAAGCGCAGAACGTCATTAATCAAAAAGGCTCATTAATTGCGCACGTGCACTCTTAAAAGCGCACGTCGGAAGTCATACTTTAAACAGCCGAAGTGACAACCCTAATTTTCTTCACTATTTTGAGCTTTAGTATAATGAAGTTATGTGAGTTTTAAAATCAGATGACGGTACAACGTGTATACAACACTGTGATTTGATAAATGCCTTATCAAGGACCATCAAGCACATAATATCAATCTTGCAATAGAAAATCTATGCGAATTAGCATATCCTCCTTCGCACAACAAAGCCCACATATAACCATAATAGTTAAGTTTTTGATGGGGAAAACCATGTAAAAAATCAAAATTTCACACTGAAAAAAAAATCACTTTCCAAAAGGTCCAAGCACTTCATTTTTGAGAATGGGACCATATGGGTCATATTGGTTACAGCCCACATTGATTAAATTATAGAAACATACTTCTGGAATTTCTGTACTTTTTGGCAAAGTGATTGAAAGATTTGCGTGGTATTCCTTGCCATTTGACGTCGTGATCAGCGTCGAACAATTTAGTACTATATGGGATCCCTGTGGGTTTTAAAAACAGCTGACCAATAGCCGAGCCCGCATGCTGTCAAAATGAAAATGGCGGACAGAATCTTCATAANAAATCTTTCTGGTAATGAAAGCGCAGAACGTCATTAATCAAAAAGGCTCATTAATTGCGCACGTGCACTCTTAAAAGCGCACGTCGGAAGTCATACTTTAAACAGCCGAAGTGACAACCCTAATTTTCTTCACTATTTTGAGCTTTAGTATAATGAAGTTATGTGAGTTTTAAAACCAGATTGTTGTACAACTGTGTGAATTGGGTTTATCCACCGGATAAATGCCTTATCAAGCGGATAACATCATCTCGCAGTAGAAAATCTATGCGAATTAGCATATCCTCCTTCGTACAACAAAGCCCACATTACCATAACAGTAAAGTTTGTATATTTGGAAAAACCATTATAAAAAATTAAAATTTCACACTCAAAAAAAATCACATTCCAAAAGGTCCAAGCACTTCATTTTTGAGAATCGGATCATATCGGTCATTATTGGTTACAGACCACATTAATTAAATTATAGAAACATACTGCTGATTTTTATTAAAAGAACCGATACTTAACTATAGTTTACAATGCGGTAATAGCGTGCACACCTTTAAGACCATCTGTATCCAGACCGTCTTATCTCGCATAGAATGTACCCCACACAAGGGCCATGATCGGGCCGATAAGCCATAGGCATTAGCTATATCGTTATCGACTTCAACTACAAAACAAAACGATTTCATTATGAACTCAAGAGTGTCTCTTTTGAATCCCCACGCGAAGTACAGCATTTTTTAGTCGGTAACTTAGTGATTCATCACTCAGATTAAAGTCCCGAGTCCATAATCTCAGTCTTTCCTGGAGAAACGCTACAAAAGTTATCTTGTATATTAATCAAGGAGGTTTCTCACTAAGCAACTAAAACAATCTACAATTGCGTTAGCATTTGAATTTCCCCTTCTTGTTCTTTTATTTTTTCACGCAGCTTGCGCGCTCTAAAATGTGTAAAAACTAATGTTTTATTTTCTGAGACGCACTTTAATTACGCTATTGACAGGTCGTGGTGCTGCTATTAAGTGTGAAGCAGTTCTTATCGTAGTTAAACAAACAAACACACACCAAAGTACTTCCGTTTCGCACTGGTGAGAATCACGACTAGATAATTACCAAAGTATTTAACATAGCTCTATCGTCTGTCCACACTTCATGTGTTATTCAAAGCAAAACAACAGAAAACAATATTCGTTTTGTTAGACGACATGTAACGTATGCATACTTTTATAGTAGTAATGTAGAACATGGTCAGTAGCGCTTTACCCGAGTGCCGCAGGCGAGAATCTTTATACCTGATAAAAAATTTCAAAAAAAAAAAAAAAAAAAATCAACTCTAGTCGTCTACCATAATATTTTTGTAAATGAGATGATATGTACTTTGATATTATTAGCACACACTTTATTGTTTTTATATGACTAACACATTTATCAATGCTTTTTCTTCCGTTGTAATTCACGTATCAAACTTTCCTTTATATAAATTCGGTTGCCATATCAATTTGTAAAGCAATTTACACTTCGAATCTCAATATGCAATTTCATTTACGTCATAAAATATTACTGTTGACGCAGCAGTAAGCGATTTTAATCAGCGATATCTCCTTGGAACAACAAACTCTGTGTGGCTGCCTTCCATTGCTCCCAGCGTTCCAATAATGCATTGCATTCATGTCATTGTTGAGCCGACGCACAAGTGATGGGAAACCCGAGACTGTTGACAAGTTGCTGACACGATGGGCGCTTATAATATATCCCTTGATAATCAAACACTTATCAAATCTCTTATCAGAGCTAGTAAGCTCATTAGCCTCAGTAAGGAAGTATTTAGTTTCTTGTACACCCACTACCGCGCTCTCTAGGTCAAGGCAAAAATCATGAATCATCGTTAAATATGCTTTTCCCCTCCTACGCAGGCAATCCGGTGGATATATTTCCAATACCTAAAAAGAGTAAGGGAAATTAGGTTAGGAAGACCTAAACAAACAACTTTAAAAGRTAGCTCAATCTCTTTCGTGTCATGGCCCGTCTGCGTCAATGTCATAGTTCATGGACGATCCAGAGAAGTGTGATTTATTTGAGAGACGAATGTAATCAAAACACTTACGGCAGTGAGACAAGGGAATGAGATAAGGCTACACGAGTGCCGTGGGAATATTCTAGCGTCCTGTCAACACTCTAAGTCTTATCATCTGGTTACATACTCTATCTTTACTTGATTTGTCGTCAACTTTATAAAGGAGTTCATTGATGAAGTTAATCAAAAAAGGTCCATTGTTACTCTTTTCATCCTGTTTTGTGCTACTTTTTTGTCTTCATATTATTGGTTAGGTTTGTTTCTAGGGGTATATAGGCACCATAAATTTCTATAAAATAATCAGAACTGGAAAAAAAATCATATACAACTAATGACAAAAACGTTGTCCTGAGATATCGGGGATTTAGGAAATTAGTAATAAATTAAATGACAAAAGATGGCCACTGAAGCTGCGCACTTTCTTTTGTATTTTGATTCTAATTCTTAAATAGCAAAAGTTCTTTTTCTTGGGCCACGTTTTCGTAATCAGGAGTATTTCTATGACTATGGATTTTCAGTGGAGCTTACCAGGGTTTTTATAGAGCTTCTAAGAGAAACATTTTAAAATCTTCAGGAGTCATTCTGTCACATCTTGAGTTTACAAGTGCTAATGGCTTTTACTTTAGAGGAAATTCAAACGTTGAAAATTAGTTTTTATCTACTTTATGGGTTATCTACGAGAAAGGACTAAAATTCTTAGCTTCAGGTAGCAGACTAGACTCGAATCTAGTCCCGTTCGAAACCAAATGTTGACAAAAATTAAGCGTACGAAGTGAAGACAAAAGCTCATTAAACTTCAATTAAAATACAGTATTTTTAAGAAGTCACGAAAGAGACGAGTTCGTTCTGAGCTAACATTTCTCTCATACGTTTCTCATGTATGTCAAATGCTTCGGGTTCTTCGCCCTATCATGGCACTTTCCCATTCTTTCATTCATTCACTTTCAAGCATTTCTCAGTTAAACTATTGCTCAATGACTTAACAACGTTATAGACTGACAATCGTGCAATGAAGAATTGTCCAGAAAATGATTGACTTGGCTTAAGCGGTCAGCGGAAGACCCAAACCCAGACACATTAAAAAATCCCGATCCATCCCAACAATCTATAAATACACGGAAAGGTGTTATTAACACGACAATTCATACTGACCTCAAAAATCTGGATAGCGAACAGAAATGATCAAGACACTAAGTGTTAAAAATAGAACATTAATCGGCTCAGCAAAACTCATTTGGAAAAGGCCAGTGATCAAGGCAGACTTCCAAAGTAGTTGCAAAATGATTGTAATAGAATCTGGACCTCCTGTATGTTGTAAGGTGTATATATAGCCAGTGACCCCCTGTAAATTTCTAAGCTGCGAAATGGGTGTTAGACGGACAAAGTCATGCAAATAGCAGAGCTGCGGAAAGAGTTTGTTTCACATATTTGTACACTTAAACCAAGAAACTCTAGCTAGTCTATTGTACTTTAATTATTACTCACTTGTTTATTAACAACAGGTACAAACTACTTTTTAATTTCACTTTCCCTATATAAACAAATACTTAGACCAGTTTCATTTTTTTACTCCGACGAAGGTCTAATGTCCGAAACAGTTAAGTTACTCTACGTTGTATAATTGTCTTACTTTACAAACTAAATGAGCAGGTTTCTAAGTTGTTCACGCCGTCTTTCAGCCTGTTTTCTTTTTCTCTTCTGCCAATAAAGTAATTGGAATCATTAACACCTTGACAATTAGATTCTATTTCACATGCATTTTGAATGCTATTCTATTTATAAACCTTCAATAACACGTATCATTTGGTAATGTTCAACAAATTTCGTGAAATGTCACATGATTCTTGCTGTTATTGTTCAATTTTATCTAAACAAAATCAAATAGCTTATCTTTGCACTTTTATTTTGTTTGTTTAAGAAAGTTCCTAAAAAGACCACAAGATCGTAGCAAAAACCATCACTTTGCCGACTGCAAGTGCTTTTCCTTTGTGGTTTAGCCGTCATGCCAGTCCTAACAGCACTGAATTATAAAGAAAGCTCCGCACATAGATCTTCTTAGATCATTCTTTCGGAGTTATGAACGCCTTGGCCTCCGTTCTACCCAGTCAATCCCAGCATTCCACAACTGTTTTCCAAATGGAATTAAAGCCTCATTCAAGACAGGTCCCACGACACCCAAATCGCGTCGTTGAAAGTTGCTACCATATTACGTGCAAGTTAAGGATCGGTGATGAAAGTCTGTACTTTCTCAGCAGTTCTTACATTCCATTCAGGATGTGAATGCATCATCGTGATTGATAGATCATAGGTCTTTCTCCAGAAGTCAGCCATCCTGTGATAAAGAACATTTCACTGTCATCAAATCGTTAATTGGTGATTATTGGGTGTTTGAGCAAGAATTTAGCACAGTCCCGCAAGCGCTAAGGGTGCAGCACAGAACCTCTAAATCTCGCAACATGAAGAGAATATCGCCACGAAGTGTTTCGCCGTCGTTGTCGCCCAAAGCAAACGCGTTTTCTATCGCGTCGTTGATCGCTTCCAAGGCCGACCAGCCAGGTGATAATTGTATGTTTGACATGAAGGAGACTTCACACTTTTATTATTGTTTGAAAAGTTTGTTTATTGTTCTAACACCTCTGAATGAACAGCGCACACTCACTTGGTACTTTTGTACAATTAAACGTATTTGCAGCGGACGTCGCTCAAGATACACATGTGTCTTCAAAAAGAGGATCGTCTAGTGACGAAGAAAAAGACAACATAGACTCCGARTCACGACCGGCTAAGCAGCAGAAAGTCAGCGAAGATCAAAGTGATACAGAGTACGAAGAAGATAGCACAGAAATCAACGTCCAAGAAGATGAACCAACTGAAGAGAAAACATTCGATGCAGCAAGCGATTTGAAAAATATCAAAGTAGAACTCGAAGGACGGGATCTTTGGGAGCGATTTAACGAGCTCGGTACAGAGATGATTATAACAAAGGCAGGCAGGTATGTTGTGCGAAAACCCCATTGATCACTTTGATCATTGACAACGATATGATACGATTTGTAATCAGCAACATATTCCATATGAAGTTTTATAATATTCGGTTTATCTGCGAAGCGGATCAAATTTGATATAAGATTATTTATATCATGCAACCTTGTTGTGCTAGTTCTAYCCGTTTCGCTATTATTCAGCCTATAAACATCAATACGCCACATCAATATTTTCAAATAATATACATTGTTTCTATAAATTGTTGCTAGCTGAAACAACTAATTCTACTTTTTATCACTTAACTGCCAGACGCTTAAAACATTCGATGCAAATAGCTTTGTGGCTAAGTTGATTAGTATGAGTTAAGTCTTCCACATAATGACAAATATCCAGTGTGAATCCAGTGAAGTAAACACGAGTTTGTGATTATAGGAAACCTAACAGCTACAGAACAATTTCTTTCTATATTTCCATCTTCGTTGTGTGATTTTAGTTAATTTTAGTGTATTTCCATGACTATTTGGTTGCGTGAGCAGGCCTCAACTGAACTAGCTTCATCAGTCTGCTCGTATCGGAAACAGGGATACTTTGTTGAAATGTGTGCCCGTGAATCAGACGATTACGGCTTAGCTGCGGTCCAACTTCCAAACAAAGGAGCGGAAACCCAGACTCATCGCAAAAAACGCGAAAAACTRTCAAATATGCATTATCAAACTTTTCATTATTTTCATCAAGTCGTTCTTATTTGACCGAGGGACTCTATCCCATGCACGTCAGGAGTTCTTTTCAAGGAAAAATCTATTTAGATGTCGGTATCTTAATCTCGCTCGAGTAGCTTAAGATATCTGCTTTATTYTAGTTTTTGTTCATCTATAAACTTATATCGACATTTTTAAGCATCGCAAAATGTCTATTTAAAAGTTAACCTAAAGCAAGGACTTTTTTCAGTGATAAAGGGTTCGCCATTTCGAGAGAATCCATTGTATAGTCATTTGGCCYGAATCAAAGAATCAGACACATTTTCGACAACATTCATTCCAAGTATGCTAACGTGTTGAAATGCTTTTCGATCAACAAAAGTTRAGCAACAAAACGGCCTTTGACACGAAAATCTATAAAAATGTCCCCTGAAAAAAAAGAAGCACTCAAGTCAGTTTACCATCTTTCCGGCTACTCAATCAATTTCATAAGTGACATTGCAARCTGTTAAAGAGTTTTTCGTTTAGATCTTTTAGCATCACGAATAATGAGATCCAGCCAATAAAAAACGAGAAAGAACTGGAATAGTTAAGTTTACGTTTTCGTATGGTTTCGGGTTATCAAATATTCACTAAGTGCTCAAGGCATGGCCTAAGGCGAGTAGTTTCTATGGCAAGGTGGAGCAAGAAAAGAGAAACATATACCAGTCATGGAAATAAAAGCCGTCTCTTTAGCGATGCTGTGTCTCTGTAGGTGTTGTTAATATGCTCAATAGAAATCAACTTAGAGCACGAAGAAAAGATTTATACATTCAGAGCGCAAAAAATCGCTTTAATTCATCTTTAGCGGTTACTGATTTAACATTACGGCGCGCCTAGCTTATCCAAGGTCTTAGTACGCTGAAAAGCATCGTCCCAGACAAATTTTGCCGCGAAATCGCGCCAAAATGGCAAACACAGATTGTAAATGTGAAGCGGCTGTTCGCCATTGTTTCTCCACTAAAAATTAAAACAAAAGGTAGAGTACAAACACTAAAACTGTGCAACATAAATACCACTAAATTCTGCTAAATTATGCTAATTCTATTGTTTTCTATTGTTTAATTAACACTGGAAAGTGTTGCACACATTTAATGTTTGTATTCTATAGACTAAAAGCTTTTGAAAAGATAAATAAAAAAGAATCAATAGGTGTATTTTCTAGGACATAGAAAGACTATAGCAACCGATGCTATGATATTGTATAGGAAAAAGAATTTCTAGTTTTAAATTGAATTATTGTTTTTTGTTTACTTTTCTGCTCAAATCCACTAACTGCTCAAACAATGAAGGCTTCAGAAAAAACATACATAAACTTTGAAACCCCTTCCTTTCCTAAGTACTATTCACAGTATTTCGATACTAGTTCTTTCTTCAAACTTGATTGAAATGTGTACTTTCTATTCACGGTATTCCATATTCATGTTCAATGACCCAATTGCATTGAAACGAGGCGTAAATGTGCTCTGAGCATAAAGGAAAAGAGTCTCGGTATGGAAAGTCGTAAATACATGTATTGAAAAACTGTCTTTTCCAGACGAATGTTCCCAACTCTTCGAGTATCAGTGAGCGGTGTTCAACCTAAAGCCAACTACCTTGTTCTTATGGATATTGTTCCTGTTGACGACAAGAGATATCGATATGCATACCACCGGTCTACKTGGTTAGTAGCAGGCAAGGCAGACCCCCCTGCTCAGGTTCGACTCTACATGCACCCCGACTCGCCCTTCACTGGGGAACAGCTCCAAAAACAAATCRTTTCTTTTGAGAAAGTGAAGCTTACAAATAACGACGGGGACCATAATGGCCATGTAAGTTTGTCTTTGGTTTATTATAATTATAAACTATTGGGATTTGGTTCATTAAAAATTTATAAGAGGTAAAAAAAAGGGTTGGAGGACACGACTTTGCCCATCTTAATTAGAAAAAGGAGAGGTTGTTGCCGAAAATTCGTAAAAATATAGCTGTTGTCGTTCAATAGATTAACTCTAACAAAGCCCGATACAAACTTTTAGTAGAAACTTTTGAAGATCCACGTGCATTCGAGATTCTTTGTGCGATTTTCTCACGTGCAAAAAATCTTTGAGTTTGAACCAATCACGAAGCAACTTTTAACCACAAATCTTTTTAAAACAAATCAACAACAGCAAAGGTTGTCGGGTACACTTGGGCCATTTAACTGATGGGCGATTCAAAAGATCATTATTGAACTTTGGAAGATCAATAAAAGACACTAATAGATAGGTGTTGCGGTGCTGGGAACAATGTGGAAGACGAACAAAATGTTTGATACGTTTTAATCAGCTAAGAGATCTTAAAACCTAGCTGGCTTCTTAGAATTGGGCTTCAAAAAAAGAGATCGAAAAATGGCAAACAAAATTTTATTAGCTGACAAAACATGTTATTTTCAATGTTGTCAACCTTCATTTTTTATTACGCGTGTTTCAGAGTGCTACATCAAAAGCATTACATAACAAAACTACAAGTGTTTCTAATCTTGTGAAATAAGATTCAATGTTTTAAGGTTCACTGGGTGGTCTTGTGAAAGAATGCTTGACGTGATTGCTTTATTGTTTTTCTAAACATTCCTCAGATACGGAACATTTTATCGAATACGTGAAGAAAACCGTGAGAGAGTTTTGTTGGAGTTGATACAATTTTTGTCAAGTGAAACTTTGACTCTGAGTTTTGGTTTACTGACAAAGAACTCACTGGAGAGTACAGTGAATAACACTTTTTTAATCGTTTGCCTCAAACGTTMTTAATTCTCTGGCCTGATATAGAGGTGATAACTATAGTAAAGTAAATTAAGTTGAGTTCAAAGGCTATGAAAACCTTGAAGTTCTAACCAAATAGTGCTAAATAGCGCAATATAGTGTAAATTACACGATAGAAAACAGAGGAATCACCATGTWGTTTAATTAACACCATTATACAAAAAAGTACAATGCCGAGTCTAGAGTGAGACCATTAAAGTGCTACTTGCATGAAAATGGTCTTATTTCAAAACTTCAAGYAATACAAATATATAACTCATTTATATCTATTAAAAACAATTGCGGGAAAATGTTTGTTTTGGAATCCCACGTCAGAGAAATTTTGATTCGAAAGATGGAAGAACAAAAGGATGGAGTAAATGACGTCATCTACTCCAACATTTTTTGCCCAAATTATTAAGGATTTGTATCAATATCTTCTTGAAATCTGTTGCTTCATGATTATTAGACCCATATGGATAGGTCTATTTGATTTCCAAGTMTTTTCTAATGTTTCGCAATTTTCGTCCAAGTAGCCCTTTAAACCCGTGAAACAAAACTTGACTATTGATATTCAAAATAGACACAAAGAAAACAATGCAATTAAAGCGTACTATGGTGTATTAGTGTATCTATTTCACGGGTTTATTGACCTCACTCTAATACTGMAATTTCACGGATTCAAGGTGCGTCAACTCTATCAGCGTTTGTGGCTGAAAATTTTGAAACAAGAATGCGTACCATATTTGGTCAAACATGGATGCAGACTTACTCAGGCACAATGAATTCAAATTAATCATAGATTATTCTACATAAATTTCGTGGATTTCACGGGCTGTCCAGTAACAATACCCAGTAAGGTWTTGAGGGTATTACCGAACAAATTARAACTTRATATAGGGSTTTATATAGGGCTATTGATATATACAGAATATCAATGGTTGGTATGCCGTAATTCAGTGGGTGTAAATAGCTCGACCTATTTTCAAGTACCGGACGGAAAAACTTTGCAACTCCAAGTTTGGTGGTGTTTGTGCTCTGACATAAACTTGATTTATGGCCCTTCCTTCCTGATTGTAATTAAAGCGATTGAAGGTTTTTATGAATTACATCACTTCATATTTCATTGACCGACGGCATATTTCGATCCTTTTGAATAAATTGTATACTTAGTAGTTATAATAAAAAATGTACACGAAAAAGTAAGAGTGTATCCAGTTTTTAACATCGCGAGTATCGCGTCAACATCATCAGTTTGTTTTGCTTGTGTGTCTGCTTTTTCACCGATGTTTCCTGTCCGCAACAACGATTTGCTGTGTCTTTTTTGATACATTTTTAAACTAACTCTACAATTTTGATAATAAGCGCTTTTTCACTGACGAGGTACGCTTTGCCCTGTGCTTTATTGCCGTCAAATTCGACTGRAAAAAATACAGTCATTCAATAATAGACCGATTCTATAGATAGCGAACCAATTCAAATACTAGTAACAAAGAGAATTAGTCTACTACACCGTTCCACGGAAATTGCATTTCTAATACCATCTGGCTTGTCAGTATAGGGCAATTCTAAATTGTCCGCCATTTTTCGAATCTGTTCAGCGAATCAAAAACGATTTTTTTCATTGTTTTTCTTTTTCTCCAGCTTATTCTCAACTCGATGCATAAATACCAACCACGTGTTCACATTATCAGGAAAAGAGACCACACAGCATCGGTGATTAACCTCAAGTCAGAAAGAATGAAAACATTTACCTTTCCTGAAACAACATTTATTGCCGTCACYGCTTACCAGAACCAACTTGTAAGTACCAAACTGACACGATCTACACTTACAATAGTCCTTTATTAATAATACGACCGCCATCTTGGATTATGAAGAAATTATGGGATGTCCAGGGAACAAATTAACCATTATTTACAGAATGCTGCCAAAGGTTTCTTAACGCCCGGTAGTTTCCCGCTTCAAAATCAGAATTACTTTCGAATTTTACGATATAAAATTGTCATTCTCAAAGCCATACAGTCTATATATCTTTTTCTTTTTTCTTAAAGTGGATTATTACTGAATGTTTAAGTTAAAAACAAGATTTATTCAAGATGACGTCCACATTTGTATGCTAGTTTATAAGCTAGTAAGCTAGAGTGGAGACAAACGAACAATAAAAAAGTGTTCTAATCTGAATAATCAGATATTTACAGAAATATAMGTTTTTTTCCTGGCTTTTGTGTTTACTTTATGTAAACTTTGCGAGTTGAACTATTTTCTCAGTAATTTTACAAACGATTCAAAGGGTTCCCAAGTGTGCGTTTTTTCTYAGTATAAGTATTACGTTATCGTATACAGTCGGTATTTATATGAATTTGTAGTGGTATTTGGGATAAATACCACGCGTGATATTTATCCCACATTCCACGTACAAAACATGCTATTATTTTTTTAATAATATTTTTGAATAAAATTGTTCAATTTGAAATACCACTATTAAGAATAAATACCACTCTCTAAGCCAATCAAATTGCACAATATTATTAAGCCATATTTCATGTAATCCACCTTCAAATGTGACGGTGGTCGAAAGCTGTTTTTAATAGCTTTCAGTAGTAAGTTGTTTCGCTCGGTCGGTATAGCTTAAGGTTAGTCTTCTTAGAGCAAATTCAAGGAGATGTGATAGATGCTTCCTCAAGCTAACGGATTATCCCATCCAATCGGAATTCTTTAAACSTCTTCACAGGACAGCCGTGATGTTATGAGAACCTATTATCACGTAAATCACTACATAAAATGTTTAAACAATACCACCGCCCACTCATTGAAAAAGAAGAAAAAAAAAATTGAAAAACATAAACAGAAAAGTATAATTTTCAATGTAAACATTTTGTCATCAAATTATCTCCATTGACTTGCTGAGATTTAAACTAGAAATTATCATTCTAACTGTTTTCGAAGTCAGTATGAATACGGGACCACTGGATCCATAGCTTTGACGTTTTGCCCTCCATGTTGGATGAAAACTTTTGCCAACCAAATGGCGACTCGATCCAATGACCAAATATTGCCATAAAGTATAAAGTTCATAGTTTCGAGTGCTTTAAACTGAGACCAAACCTCATGATTGTTTCATTCTCATTATACCAGTAATTAAGCATTTTATAATCACACTGTGCAGAAACAATGAATGCATGATTCTGGTTTTGTTTAGTTAATTTAACCCATATTTTACATCAGTGAGTTAAACAGGATAGTTCATTTTTGACTGACTGGATTTCTCTCTTTACTGATATTTCAGATAACTCGACTTAAAATCGACAGCAACCCATTTGCCAAAGGATTTCGAGATTCCTCTCGCCTAATCCCAGTGGAAAGGTAATGTTGTATCTGATTCTAGATAAGAGAATGGCAATTTTTTTCAATTTTTTTTAGTGGGCAGAAAGCATTCGAAGCGCTTACTGAGCCTGAAGCGAAATAACTGTAAAAGTGTCTCTATTCCGACTGCTTTATGTAGACATTCCTTATCAGCTCACACATCGGTCATTTTTCANACAAGCACAGACGAAGGGAATTTTGTTCGTGCGAACCGTGGAAGACATAAGCGGAAGAATAAACATAAGCATAGAATGAAACGTTTTCAATGCCTTATGTCTCTGCTTGTCCTTATGTTCAAAAATTGTCAGTGTGAACCGGAAAAATATAAACATAGCCTCATCCTTATGTCAAGTGTCCTTAATTGTGACCTAGCTTCAGTCTATGTCTCTGCTTCTGTTTAGTAGGAACCAGCACTAAACATTTATTTATTTATTTATAAGCAATATTTTACCAGGCCACCCAATTCAGCGTGGGCTGGTTTAAATGGGGGCCTGAAAAAAACAACAACATAACAATCTTCTCTTTACATTTTATTAAAGTTTATGGCTGAAAATTAGAAAATTGTGCCCAAAATTGTGTTTCAAAATGCACCAAATTTAAGAAAGCGAAGTATGGTCATAAACACAGCTGAACTAGAAAAGTAGCTGTTGCGGCAACAGGAGCGAAAAAAAAAAGGAAACCGAATAATGGGATAAAGTTTGAAAAGCTAAGCGAGTTTGAATGATTAAAAACACAAAAAATAACAAAACGTCTTTTATTGTTCAATGTCAACCAATATGGCTGTCGTCTTCAATGAAAAAATCACCATTCAGTTCTTAACTCCACCACAGTTTTGTACTGTGTCTGTTTTAATAAAAATTTCTTTGATTTTACAGGGATAATTACTTATCCAAAGAACAGTCGTCGCCTTACCACACAGGAACATTTAGTCCAGCCTCGCCCTGGCCCGTACTCGGTTTTACCAAACGATCACAGAGTAGCTTACCTTTTGTCACGGATGACAGACCTCGTATTCTACCGGCAGGTAAATATTAGTATTGAATCTAGAAGATCGACTGATCAGGCTGTGGACTGGTTCACGCCATGACATGTGAATAAGACATTTCACGCTTGAACCTCTAAAAACAGAAACATAATCATAAGAAAAAAACTTGTCTTATGTCTCTGCTTATGTCGAGACTTTAAAATGTGAACCGTCGCGATTTGACTATGAATCGGCTCTAAGACGTTGTATTTATATTGTGTCAAATTCATTGAAAGCAATATTAGAATTAAGTGATATTTMTAGTCTATGAATCACTAAATGAGAAATACCACGATTATAAARCAAGGCTTTAATTCAATAACAACTCATTTATAGAAAACAGTATAAACTTGACTAAGAATTGATGAATATCTTTTGATACTACTTAAATCACAAGGGGAATCAAGTGTATTAACTGATCCGGCTCACAAAATTAAAAAAAATTATTAAAATCTGCTCATTTCACTGAGAAAACAATGTTATTTTTTGAGAGTTGATTTAACTCCAAAAGTGGACATTAGAAAAAGGTACAGGATGACTCCTCTTTAGGAGTAATTATAACTCCACATATTAGTTAGAATTATCCATAGTGGAGTTAAAATTTCCCCTGGTGGAGTTAAGTTTACTCTCATTGTGGAGTAGATTTAACTCCCTTTAAAGTTACTCCATTGGGTAGACTAAATTTAACTCCATTGACAGAGTTATATCAAATCCTTGAAAATAACAGTGAACACCTAGAATTTGAAACTGAAAGTCAAAGGAAAAAGTGAAGGTACTGCCAGTTTTACATGTAAGACAGTCGCCGACCACTCCAATACCACAACGATCAGTGACATTGCTGTTATATTCCCCGGCTGAATTGATATCCCCTCAAAAGGAGCTAATCTCAACAAATTGATCAACAATTTCCGCCAGTCCACTGAGTAGATAATTCGAAACAGACGCTGGAAGTTGCTTGATTGCATGAACGTATCGCGATAATCCTGAGTAAATTACACCGTTAAAGGCTTAGGAAGACTGTTTGCTACTTGAAACAAACGTCTGGCGACCTTGAAATAAGCTTCTGGGATGATCCAGAGCTTTTCGCGCAAGCCTGAAGGAAAAGGGGACTAATTTAACCCTTGGCAAGAGCTTTAAACACCTTCGTTAATAGGAATTCAAGGGTATCAATTGCGAGACTGTTCGACGCTGTAAATCGATGGCCGTTATTAATAGGAATTTGTCTTTGAACTCATTGATCGTTAGAAAACAGATCACACGGTGCCTAGGGCGAGGTCAGCTTGAGATGGCGCGTCTTTAGTTCTTTCCTTCGCGTTTTTGGTTTTGTTTTCTAAAAGAGGCTAGTTTTCTGTAAGATAAAAAGGAG